CCCTGACCAATACCCACACTGTGAACTCTTTATGGGTCGATGCTCGTCTGATCCCCTCCAGTGTGGACTGAGGATCCAGGACGAGCCCGTGGGGGATCCTGAGCTCTCTTTCTGACCTGGGGGCCACTAAACCGTTCTGAGGGCAGCTTGTGTGCTTCACTGTGACTCGTTTCTGCGCACTGCCGCTGCTCGGGCCTTGAAGACACACCCACCGGAGCCCCTCTGCGGCTACTGGGGCAAATATGGTCGGGTGGCCCAGAGGAGACCCCCCCACCCCCCACCCCGCTGCGCTGCGCTCCTCCCGCACATTAACCTTTAGCCTGCGCTGCGGCTGTCCGGACGGAGGCTGAGTGTCAGAACCCCAGCAGGAGAACCGTGGACACGACCCAGCAGCTATGGCCTCCACTCCGTCCGCCTCCGCCCTGTCCGCCGTTCTCCGGTGTCGGGGGAATATCTGGACCCGGAACCCGCCGACCAAGCGGCCTGCAGCCTCCGCCTACAGCCTCGGACTGTCCGCCGGGGCGCTGCGCGACTCCGCGGCCGAGCGCACCGGGGCCCCGCAGAGCTCAGCGTGGGAGGCTGTTCCCCGAGGGGTCGCGGTGGGAGGAAGGCTCGCCGTGGCTTACAGAGTGGGTGTTAAAATACCGGGAGAGACAGACTCCAGGGAGGTGAATCAATTCTGTTTTCCAAAACTTTCGCAACCCCCAGGGGACGCGCACTCAGCTCCGCCTGGTGTCCAGCACGGCCAGCTGGCGCGCAGACTGACGCGCAGCCTGCCTGGAGCAGGTAAACGCTCCAAAATAACCCACGCGATTCAAGACGGAGCACGCGCTGCTCACGTCTGCAGGATAACAGTTGCGGAGGACAGGAGGGCGCGCGCCCTGCGGCTCGCCGTGACTTGTCCGTGTTCGGTCACGGGACAGATCCCGTCCCTCGTGTCGTCTGGCTGCTCGTCGCTGAGCAGGACCTGCTTGTCTGTGACTGCTCTGCTGTCAGAACTCGTGTGGTGGAAGCTGGCGGTGCTGTGCGGCTCCAGCAGCGGCCCTCCGGATGCGCAACAACAGCTGCTGGACGAGGACGACGTCGGAAAAAACGGCCAGCAGGTGAGCGTCATGACTCTAATGTGAGTTACGCAGCCGTTAGTGTGGGTAAAGACATGTTCCACTTCCTGTTTCAGGCCCATGGACACATCCAGTCCTCCTGTCAGGACACCAGTGGACCACACATGACAGAGGACAGACCGGACTGAGTCCAAGGCCTCTCTGTGAGCCAACATCCTCTGTTGACTTACTTTCATAACACTCAGCACATCTGGACTTCAACCCAGTGGAGCATTAAAACAACGTTTTGTTTTCAGTGCACGTGTCCCTTCACCCTAAAGACACGTATGAGGAAGAGCAGACCTGCTGCCAGGAGGCCGGCCCACTTCATCTCTTGTTCACGTTATCTGCATGTTTTGCACAGAAGCTTGGTCCAAACCGTCCCTTCAGATTGTGCTACCAAAAACGTGCATAAGTGTGGTGGAGTCATTTATTTTGTTCCATGTTTCTCTCTGACTGAACTGAAGAATAAAGAGCCTCCCCGGTATCCAGCTCATTGCTCTCCATCTTTTGTGAAGGGTGGGACGTGAACGTTGGTGCTGAAACTAAATCAGACTGAGTTCAGTAATAACTCAGAGTTCACGCCACCACCAGGTCACAGGCTGCCAGGCTGAGATTAAACTTCAGCTGGACTGATGTAGATCAAACTTGAACTTGTAAACACGTTTGGATGAGTCGTGCTGACGTCAGCAGCGTTCATGCTGACGTCATGTTTTGTGTAATTTCAACGTACATTTCTGTATTGATTGATTTAGAAGTTAAATTGATCAGAGAACTGAATTTTTCACTGCTCTGAATTCTGGATTTCAAGCCCTTAAATTGTTACGGTTCTGATACCAGGACTTACTGCCTCAGCATAGCTGGTTGGTTGAACAGAATTTCATTAGAAGTTGTCATGAGTGAACCAGCCTGATCCAGACTTGCTTATTTCAGCCTAGACATTTGTTTTTAGATATTTACTGACCACAGAGAGAGCAGCAAAGAACCACCGAATGACCACAAACACAAAATGACTGCAAAGGAATGCAAAACAACCACAAAGAAACACAATATGACAACGTAGAGCCACAAAACCAGTGCAAAGAGACACAAAATGTGTATATAGACAAAAAATGACCACAACGAGAAACAAAACAGAAATCGACTCAAAGCAACTGCAAAAACATACAAAGTGAGTGCAAATATTGAAAAACAACAACAAGCACAGAGACAAAGAACAGCGACAAACATGAAGTGATGGTTTAAGTCACAACAAGGCCATCAGACGACTGTGTTGTACCGTAAACCATCACAGTGCACACAGGCAGAACGGTGGATCAGACTACACAGGTCCTTCCTCTAGGTCATTTGTTTGCTGGATCTCTTCTCCAGGACCAGTCTGATCAGTGGCTCACCTCATAACCGAGATGTTTACTGGTATTAGTCGAGACATGTTTAGTGATTAATTACCTTGACTGTAAAATAATGCATATTTAAGGACTGTCAAGCAGAAGGAATACGGCACATGCAGCACTTACAAGCTAACTACAGTTTGCCAGAAAGAACGTCGGAGATTCTAAAGTGGAAGAAGGTTCTCTGGCCTGATGAGACCAAAATTGAGCTTATTGGCCGTCAGACTAGACACCAAACGGTGGACATCAACACAAACACACCAACCTTATTGTGAAGCACGGTGGTGGCAGTATCATAAAGAGGAGATCTTCTCGGCAGCAGCCTGGAAGGCTTGTGAAGGTAGAAGGTCAAATGAAAGCAGCAAAGTGTAGAGAAGTCCTGGAGGACAACCTGATGCAGTCTGCAGGAGAAGTGCCGCTTGGAAGAAAATGTGTTTTCCATCAAGACAATGAGCCGAACAAACAGGTGAAGCTGCACAGAAACAGTTTAAAGACACCAAGGTGGAGTTCTGGAGTGGCCTTCACCTGCCAGTGTGTGGGTGGATGAGAGAAGGGCTGCTCTCATGAGCCCGGTGCACACTGACGGAGCGTGAGCAGGTCTGCAAAGAGGAAGGAGATAAAACTGCAGGTCCAGCTGTGGCAGACGGACTGAGGCCAGTCCAGATGTGGTCTGAGGTGCATCTACTGAGCAGAGACTGGAAGCTACCAGATACTCATGCAGTCACTTATTTCATATTTTTAATTTATTGACACGACATGAAATCGTGTTTTTTTTAATGAATTGTTGTGAAAAAAAAAAGAAAAAGTTTGAATTTAAGACTGCATAAATAACATATGTAGCAAAAAATAAATGGTTTCCTGTAAACATAGAGAAACTGTTCAAAGCCAGAGGAGGTTATAACCAGAAGGAAACTAAAGGTGGAGCAGCCTGATGCTCAGACCAACTTCAAACGTCTGTTCCTATTGGTGGGGGTTTGGTGGAACAATTAAACAAAGTGTGAATATAATGATAAATCTTTGAGGAGTGGAGAAAGAGGAAGGAGCAGGTAGCCTGTACAGATGTTGATGTTGTTCATTTTGTTCTGATTCCAGAGCTCGGTTGGAGCAGGTTTGATGTATTTCCTGTTTAGTTTATTGAACTGCATTTTGCATTTATTCATGGTGAAGGATGGGGCTGGGACCTGAGCAGCCCGGCTTCCTCCTGTCCCTGTTTGAACCAGTCAAATGTGTATTATACGGGAACTGGCTTTTTATTTTTTATTTTTCTTTTCCATTTGTTTCAAATATTTTTAATCGTTTGTTCGTTTGAAATAAAGAATAAAGACACTAAGAACTAAATTAAATTGATCATGATTCACTGTTGAAACACAATAAAAGGGCAAACTGTGCAAAATGCTTTTCAAGGCAGTGCACACATGAGACAGGTGTGTCTGGATGCCAGCCCAGGTCGTCCGGGTGAGCTGAGGTTAGGCCACATTGTTGTCATCTGGCAGGAAGAAGGAAGTGAAAGCTCCGGTCCCCTGAGGCCACAGCAGAACCTGCAGCTCAGGAGCAACACGCATGTCAGCGACATTCATACATGTTCATGTCCCGTTCTGCCCAGCCTCGGTTCTGCTGGCTGTCCTCCAGACCTGGACGGGTCCAACGGGCTCCGCACAGACTCGGAGCTGCGCGTCCAAGTGTTGTGTAACTTCTCAAGGTGACAGTTGGGGCGGGACTTCCGAGTCTGCGCAGACCAGGAAGCTGTCCTGTTACTTCTCCTCCTCCTGAAGCCGAAGCGGAGACATAACGGCAGAAACTCCGCGGCGTCAACTTGCTGTAATCTCCGGCCGGACCGAGACAACCCGCCGCACAGGAGCTCCTCCGCGGCGGCTCCGGTTCTCCGCCGCCGCTTCACCGCCGCTTCACCGCCGGGTGTCCGCGAAGACATGGGAGGAAGAAGCGGTGTCCGGTAAGAGCTAATTTCAACTCGCTCCTCCTCACGGCCACAGCGCGCAGGCTGGAACCAGCAGGACAGCAAACTTGGTGGCTGTTCGTGGGTCTGCTTGAGGCCGGTCCGGCTGGGACCGGTCCGGCTGGGAGGCCGAGGCAGCCACAGGTGATCGGAGCAGATCGATCCGCTGCTGAATCATCACTCAGGAAAGTTCACAGTGAACCAGATGTCTGCCTTTCTGTGCTGCTGTTGTTTCAGATGAAGGACCGTGAGAGCTGCTCAGCCCGCTCAGGAGGAGTCCTGCCCTCCTCATGCTCCTCTCCACCAGCTCCCAGCCTGACCTGTAGCCATGCACTTGTGATGAACCAGGACTCCGGCTGCCCGGCCCATATCCCGTTCCTATTGTGTGCAACCAGCGCCCGTCGTTCCTCCTGAGCCTCCCCCTTCCTGAACCTCCGTATCTCCGCCATGCTCCGCAAAAGGGGCTCCGTCATTTTCTGTGGCGCGTTCCTGTTTGTCACCTGGAACGCCATCCTGGTGCTCCTGCTGTGGGGCAGGCCGCAGCCGGGCCAGCCGGGGGAGGCCGGCCCGGAGCAGGGGGCGGCGGTCGGGAGCCCCTCCTCCGACGTGGTGGGGGACGTGCTCCGGATGGCGGACACCTTCGAAGCAGAGCTGGAGAGGCAAAAAGAGATCCTGCTGGAGATCAAGAACCACCAGTCGCTGTGGGAGCCGTCCAACAGGGACAACCCGAAGGTGGCGGCCCCCCGGCAGCCCGTCATCCCGGTCCTGGTCATCGCCTGCAACAGGGTCACGGTGCGGCGCTGCGTGGACAAGCTCCTGCAGCTCCGGCCTTCAGCGGACCGCTTCCCCATCATCGTGAGTCAGGACTGCGGGCACGCCGAGACGGCCCAGGTGATCCGCTCCTACGGGGACAAAGTCACTCACCTGCAGCAGCCGGACCTGTCGGACATCGCCGTGCGGCCCGAGCACAAGAAGTTTAAGGGCTACTACAAGATCTCCAGACATTACCACTGGGCCCTGAACCAGGTGTTCCGGACCCTGTCTCACTCCTCGGTGGTGATCGTGGAGGATGACCTGGAGGTAAACGTGTTCTCTCTTCCTGCTGTGTGTGACTAACAGAACAACGTGTGTGTCCTGAAGGAAAACTTGATTGAACTTGTTGTCAGGGCTAAACTGAATTATTCATCTCGCACTCTAGGTGGCGCCAGACTTCTTTGAGTATTTCCAGGCCATGCTGCCGCTGCTGAAGTCTGAGCCCAGCCTGTGGTGCGTGTCGGCCTGGAATGACAACGGCAGGGACGGCTACGTGGATCCTGGCAGAGCTGACCTGCTCTACCGGACCGACTTCTTTCCAGGCCTCGGGTGGATGCTCCTCAAGGAAGCGTGGGAGGAGCTGGAGCCCAAGTGGCCCGCCTCCTTCTGGGACGACTGGATGCGGCAGCCCGAGCAGCGCCGCGGCCGCGCCTGCGTCCGGCCGGAGGTGTCACGGACCCTGACGTTCGGCCGGCAGGGCGTGAGCCTGGGCCAGTTCTACGACAAGTACCTGCGTTACATCAAACTGAACACCGAGTTTGTGCCTTTCACCAAGTTAGACCTGAGTTACTTGAAGGAGGAGACGTACAGACAGAACTTTGAGAAGGAGGTGTACAGCGCTCCCGTGGTGACCTTTGAGGCCGTGAAGCAGGGCCAGCTCACCGGACCGGGGCCCTTCCGCCTCCAGTACTCAAGTAAGGAAAGTTTCAAAATGATGGCCAAAAACCTGGGCATCATGGATGACTTGAAGTCTGGAGTCCCGAGAGCAGGTTACAGAGGAGTCGTCAGCTTCATGTCCAGAGGACGGAGGATCTACCTGGCCCCGCCCCCAGGATGGAGCCGCTACGACCCCACCTGGAGCTGAGGGTCCAGGCGGTGGAGCATTCCAGACCAAAGACGACCAGGATGGAGGACGCAGAATGGGCTGTCCCTCTCTGATGTAGCTCTTCTTGCCAATGTTACTCAGGTCTTTTTCATTAACCCAAATGTTTCTTACAGTGTAGGACGCAGCCTGGACCGTTTGTTAGACAAATCTGCTGTAATTCACCAGAGATCTATTTTTGATATGATGCTAATTGTGCACATGATGTTCATCAATGCATTCAATGCAACTGCCTAGTTTGCCACTTTAAATGATCTGGTCGTCTGTGTGACCTGTTTACGTCTGGTATAAATGAGGAAACATGATGTGGTGCTGTGGTGTCGCTGGGTGGTCATAGCTGCAGCATCATCTCTCATTCTGTCTGATTCTGCTCCTCTCTGTTGTCTGTCACATGATTTTGTTTGATTCTGCGCTGTAGTGCTCTGCAGGTTTGTTACCTTGCAAACTGCTACACTTGTGTATTTGTATATTTTTGGAATAAAAGGTAATGCACAGTTTCTACTTGTGGCTCTCTGTTCCTGTTGTCTGATGTGTTCCAGGGTCCTGACCAAAGCATGTAGACTGGACAGGTGAAGGTCTCTGTACCATTCTGTAGGTCTCAATATTTCAGCTTGTTAGTTGAATTAGTTCATCTTATTTCTTTATAGAAAAGCCCTTCAATGTGTGTAACGACAGCAGTGACTGGACTTGGTGTTACTGCTTCATGATGCCCACTTCAGGAGTTCTGATAAACTAACGCGGTTCAACTGCATAGTGTTACCAAGAGTATAGGGTTCTAAAAAATACTAAATATGTTGGCCTGAGTTTTGAGGAAACGTAATGAAAATATGCCAAAGACCTGGACAGTGTTTCCCACTGACGAAATCATTGATTATATTTAAATATTTTACTCACTCTGAACAAGACAAAGAGCCGGAGAGGCAGAATAACACACTTCTAATGGGACAAGACACAAAAAGAGAAGCAGAACTGGGACGCTGTAGGAAACATGAAACCTCCACACTGGTGGTGAAAATGTTTTCCAAAGTAAACAGCAGTGAGTACACGGCGGTGCACGCCACGTCAGCGTCCAGGACTCCAGCTTCTACCGCTTCACAGTATTTGCATTACGTCTGAGTTGACCAGTCGGATATTTGCTCTTCAGTGAAGTAAAATAAAATTAAAATAAAATACTGACTCCAGGTAGGAGCTCAGTGCAGCACAGTCAGTATATATAACTGCTGACATTCAGATGGTTTTACTTCTGTCAGGGCTTCTAATGTCCTTGGTATGAGCTGTTCTCGATGACAGACTCAACCCTCTGTTGTTGCACAAGCTTCTGGAGAGCTGTTCTGCCACTCTGAAGAAATGATTTTTCTGAACTTCTCTTTGCTGGAGGGGTTATGTTGCTCCATTTTTCTCGTTAAAACACCTTTCAAACACTAACAACAGGTGTTTTGTTGGATTCCAGTCAGGCTACATTCTTGTCCAGGTTGTGGTTTTCCCCTGATGCTCTGATTCTGGCAGCATGTTTTGATTGTTGTCATGTTGAAAAGGAATGATGTTCTTCTGCCAAGCTTCTGAGGAACAGAAGCCGTGTTGTCAGCCAGTGTTTTGGGTTCTCCACGCACGTGTTCATGCTGCATCTGTAAATGTCATCTCCCCAACACCTTCTGCCCTCATACAGCCCCATGTCATGATACTTCCACCTCCGTGCTTCGCTTTCAGGACGATGTATTCACTGTGGTGGTCCTGGTCAGGTTCACACCAAGCATCTGGACTCTGTCTGAGCCCAACAAATTAATTTTGGTCTCATCTGGCCAAAGAAGGTGTTCCCAACATCCATCAGATGTCTTTTCATGTTCTTCAGAGACATTTCTATTTTATTGCCTAAGAGCTTCCAATGTTTTATTCATAGCCTCCGTCCACAGAGGTTGATGTTCTGAAGTGTCCTTCACACTGTCTTAGCATCACAGAAGCTCTGATTAGCATTAATAAGCCCTGTGCCAAGCCTGAAGCAGCTGTTTGTCACAGCTAGACTGTAAAGTAGTTCAGTGTCTGTGGAGTGGTTGTAGGAGGACGACCCTGCAGCTCTGATTCGTGGCACTACGCCTCCTATTACATCCTGATCACTGCTGCAAGGCAGTTTGACTGATTTTTACTGATCCTCCTCCATGTCTGTGAAGTCACACAATCAGATGTTTCTGTTCCTCTCACAGTTCCTTTCTATGTGGAACCATGATGCAGACATGCAGAAAAACAGAGTCCAGGTCCAAAGCTGAGAAGGTTCTGCTGTTCACAGCTCATTTTATACCCATGTTGATGCACTTGGGCTGTTTGGGAATCACATTTATACTCAGGTTAGTGTATTTGCTTTTGTTAGGGTTAACTAACAAACAACCCTAATCCTATATTTTCAATACAGACTTTCAAAGTATTTGTTTTTGAGTATTTATTAGAAGAAACACTCGACTTAGACATAACGCTATTAGTCAGAGCTGACAGAACTTTGAACCGTCTGACATTTAAGTGATTGTGCACAGGGTGTGCTCATGCTGTGTCCTGGGGTTGTCCATGTTCGCTTTGCTCATCCGTCACTGTGTGTACGGCGGCCGCGTTGGCTCAGACGTTGCCCAGCGTCAAGCTAGCGTTTGTCTATTTACTTCATTTGTAATGATGATGATGTGAGGCCGAAACCGTTAGCTAGCTAGCCTAGCTAAAGTAATGAAGAGCCGGTAGGACATGGAGGAGAACAGGAGCGTGTTGGGGGGTCAGAGTGAGCTACCTCCCGCTAGTTTTCATCTCATGGCAGCTGTTTGTTCTTTAAAGCAGCCGCTACATTCCCACTGACGGCGTTAGCCTGTTAGCACGCTAAGCTGCAGGCTAGGCTAGCTCCAGTCGGTCGGGTTTCGGTGGGATCTAATATGGCAGATTGCAAACTCAGCAACACTCGTGTCCGCTGGAGTTATTTTTTTAATTACCCCTACCTAATTACCCGTAATAACCTCAGGTCGCTGTAGGTCTAAACGCTGCTGTTGAAGCAACCTTAGCTAAAGCTGCTGCTGTCGACACCGTGCGGCCTGGAATGGAGCCAGGGGACTTGCGTGAGAGCCCCGCCGGCTCAGGTGAGTCAGACGTGGGGGATTGGAGGGAGGGGATTCCCGGCGGGGATGAGGAGGTCAAAGCGGCCGACAGTAATGGGACAGCGGCAGAGACTGCGCTCAGGGACGCCTGCGATGAAGGCGAAAGTGACAAACAAAAAAGCGTGGGGGATCCGCTGCACAGCCCGTATGAGGAGGAGCTGGACCCCCGGATCCAGGTACGGTTTCTCCGTTAGTGCCCTTTAAAGTAGCTGTATGGATGAGGCACGTTTAATCACTGCTAGCAGCACCTGGGTGGCTCATTCTGGACCACGTCCATTCACTGACAGGTAGCGAAGTGCCAAAAACAGCACGTTTAGTACATTTATTTTGGGAGTTTTCGTTAGATTCATAATGCTATAATCTGTGCAAATCCAGATCAGTGTCAGATGAGAAGTGATTATCTGGTCAGTTGGTCCCGTTACACCATGAAGCCCTTTCAGCCCGTTTATTGCTCACAGTCATTTCAGAGATAGCAGTGATGTGTGCAGGCCTGCCACCAGCCAGGGCTCCACTGTCCATTAATTAATCAATAACTGTTGGAACAATGCTGATCAGTGCAAGATGACAGCTGTCTGGTCTCGTCCACACCCTCATCGTATTCAGTTAGAATAATAATAATATGAGATATAAACTACGGCTATGCAAGAAAGTTGAATCGCATTTTTGACAGATTTTGCAGAATGAGCAGCAATTTTAGTGGGAAGTGTGATGATTGCATCTTTTCCACTGAATACAGAATAAGAAAGTCATGAAGTGATTCCAGCTGTTGTGTGTACCAGCGAGCGTCCTGCCTCATGTCTCGGGATGTGATTTATGAGCCACAGCAGTAATTCATTCACACCAGCCTGCTCATGGTGCCTTGGTCACAAAGCTGCAGCTCCTGCACTTTGGACATTGCACTTGTCCATATTGTGATTTCAGTCATATTTAGATTAATTATTCATCCCTATCACAGGCTGTTGTGTTTGTTGTTGTTGACAGACTGATTTCCTCCCCACAGGAGGAGTTGGAGCACCTCAATGAGGCCAGTGCAGAAATCAACAAGCTGGAGCTGCAGTTGGACGTGAGTACAAGTGACTGCTGAAGTGGTTAATTGGACCGGCAGCGCAGAGGAAGTACATGTGTTCTGACCTTCATTCACTCACTGAACCAGTGGTGATAGTGAACAGCGTCTGGTTTCAGCCGCTGAAACTCTTCGCTGATCTCTGAACTAAATATCTTTACTGTCTTTGGTCACTTTTTAGGATTCGTGGCCGTTTTCCACTATTTGCTGACATTTCCTGAACCACAAACACTTGATATTATTCATGTTACAATGAAAATAATAGCTAGTTGCAGCTCTTTTAATTGGACGTATTTTGTCTTCCAACATGGATTAAATAAAATGCTTTGATGCTGACGAAACAAACTGATTATTAATGAGAAAAAAACATTTCCTACCGTCTTGGGAATTTCTTGTGAGTCTGTCTGCTTCTAAATATTTTATTAGTGCATCCAGAAGGCACTAATCAATATGATAATTCAGTTTTCTGTTATGTGTAAAGCACAGAGGCTGGAAACAAAGAGCAGCTTTAAAATGGAAAGTGCAGCGGTGCTGGTGGTTTGACTGTCAGGGAATTGGTTGCTCACCTCCAGCTCTACTCCTGTGTGAAATCTAATAAGCTGCTCCATCACAGGTAAATCTAATCTTGTCATTTTCATGCATTAACCATTCAGGATGCCAGATCAGGCTACCGGAAGATCCTCACAGAGTCTGCCAGGAAGCTGAACGCTCAGAGCTCTCAGCTGGGGAGCTGCATAGAGAAAGCCAGACCGTATTACGAAGCTCGCCGCCTTGCAAAGGAGGTATCCACACAGAACATGTCTCCAAGGTTGTACATGTGTTTGTGTGTGAAATATTGTAGTTTAAAAAATCTGAGTATGTAGTCTGCTTTGATGTGCTAAAATCACAGTAATTATTCCAAGAGTGGGATCCAGAAGTTCTGCTCAGAGCAGCATTTAGATTTGTTGTAGTCGCTGCTGTGGCCTGATGGAGGCTTACAAACAGAAGGAAGCTGTGTTCACACAGGAACTCAGTGTTGTCAGGTTTTCCTCTAAACTGTGAAACGTACCCATGTAAGTTCTGTATAAAATGCTCACCTAGCTTGATCACCACATTTATTGGCCTCATGGGCTTCGTTTCATAACTCGTATGAATCAGAAACAACGATATTCACACACAGCTTCATAGAGATGTGGGTCTCTAACAGAGTAGGGAGTCGTGTCTTCCTCGTAGTCCACCTCTGTAGCCTGTAAAAGCTCCGTCTGCTCCCTGTAGGCGCAGCAGGAGACCCAGAAGGCAGCTCTGAGCTACGAGAGGGCAGTTTCCATGCACACCGCCGCCAGGGAGATGGTCTATGTGGCAGAGCAGGGCCTGATGGCTGACGGCAAGAACACCCTGGATCCCACCTGGCAGGAGATGCTCAACCACGCCACCGCCAAGGTAACGGAGGAGAACATGCATCAGCGCGTACAGGCAGCTTTCATTTTGGTGTGTTCACGTTATTCACTCGTCTCCTCCGACCCTCCGCTCTGCTGCGTGTAGAGAACAAGTGTGGAGATAAGTAAAGCTGATTTCTGGCTGCCGAGGAGACGCTCACAAACGGGCTGTTGCTGGGTTACGATTGGCTCAACCAGAAATAAGCTAGACAGCTGGTGAACCTGTGTTCCTCTCAGCTGCAGCAGGTAGC